GAACGTCACCATGCCATCCTGACATTGGCCGGCGAGGGGCACGCCCACGCTGGCAGGCTGGATTTGCTGAACTCCTCGAGTCCACGTCTCCCACCCTGGCAACACGTTGGCTTGAGCTGCCAGCACCGCACTGCATACAAATGGCCAGGCAGGCCGCTAGGGTGGCCAAATGGGAGCTCGGCTTCTGAGGTCAACAGCGTGGGTGGCGACCGCAAAAGGACGAAATGAACCCCCTAAAAGGGTTTAAGGTTCATATATTATAGGGATTCATAGTGTATGGGTATAGGGCCCCTAATTTTAAGGATCATTTGGCCATTCAGGATAGTGGGTATTTGTAGGAAAGAGCGTAGCAAGGGAGGCTAGGCAAGAGGTTTTGAAGTACAGTAGAAGCCAGACAGTTGGAACAGCATTATCCCCATTCCTTTCAGGTAAAGTAGAGGGAATCCTAGCACTCATCATCCTAAACTCATGTTCCAACTTTCTGGGGTTCACTATAAGGCTTACAATATTGCAAGGCTGACCATCTCCCTTCAACAAAAAAAAGCAGGGAGGGCAGGCTTCGGTCGTGAAACCTCTCGGCTACACGCTTTGGATTTGCCTGCGTATGGGTCCTAGGGTTTAGGTGTAGGATTTAGAGTTTTGGGTCGGGTGCTAGGGTTTAGAACTGGACGCTTGCCTGCTGTAGGGGAGCTGTGGTTTGGGTTTAGCCTACGTTTCGGCAGTGAGGAGCTAGGTCTAAGGGGCCTACAAACACTTATAGCCCATAGTTTGTCTTCAATTTAACTACCAGTACAAATATAGGGGCATGAATAATTTAGAATAGAGTTTTGAGGCCCATTATATTACAATCATAATAAGCAACCCCCAAAACCGACAAGGTTTTCGGAAACTCCCATATGAACCCCTAAACCCTAAACCCTCTATATATGAACCCCGGGTATCTATCTACATATATATATGCATATATATATATATATATATACATATATATATATATATATGTAGATGGATCCTTGGGGTTCGCACCATCGAGCCCTGAGTTGCGAAACCTGATGCCTATAGATTGCCATGGCACAACACTGAGCAGCACGGCTATCATATATAATTCACAGTATATAGTATATCACTTATAATACAGAGTATATAGTATCTAATAGATAGTACAAAATATATGATATCTAATACATAGTATATAGTATACAGTATCTATATCTAATATATATATATATATATATATATAGTATATACTTTATAAGTTGTGGCCTTAAATTTTGGGAACCTCGCGAGCCTCGCATACTACCTGAAGGTTTCGGAGAAGCCGTTTAAGGTCGCTTACCAGCCCTGAACTAGACTTAAGAGTAACCTAGGATTGAAAGGGTGCCCTTTTTGGTTTAAAGGGGCTTACAACGGAACCTGAACCCTCAAACAAGGGAATAAGGGCCCACTCTAGGTCCCGGTGAACCGAAGCAATCGTACCGCGGCACCAGCAGTCGGCCTGGACGTATCAGAGCGGCGGCACACAAGTCTATGTGCAAAAACGACGGGCTTTCAACCCTAAAACCTAAACCCTAAAGCCTAAAGGCTAAACCCTAAACCCTAAAGCCTAAAGACTAAACCACTTAACCAGCATTGCTTAGTCTGGTTCGCGTAATGCTTGCTTACTATATGACATGTGTTGCGGCTGCTGACTGCCGTTCTTCAGCCTGATCCAGTCATCTTGAACACGATATACTATACTACATTCTACTATACTTCAGTATGCTATGTTTTCAAAGTACTTGTTTCATGAAGTCTGAGAAGCGATGAACCTTGTGAATCTCTGCAGCTGTGGCGACAGGCGAGGATGGGCACGTGTCTCTATGGTACTCGCATTCTGTCAGTTGCTCTCTAGCTCTGTTGCTTTTTTACTCACTCTCTCTCTCTCTCTCTCTCTCTCTCTCTCTCTGCGTAGGAAAATTCAATACAGCCAGACGAAATCAAACGAGTTTGGTCTTGGTTTGATCATCGAGCACTGAAGATTAGCAGATAAACTTCGAATGGGATCTTCAATGCTTAATGCATCAATGCACATTGCAATGGAACATGCAGATGGTTGACTGCTTTCCGAGTTGATTTTTGCTTGGTGGCGATATCCCCTGAAGGTTTTTCGATTGAAGCATGCAAAGAGTCGGAATGAATATTCGATAACGGAACGAGCAATGAACGTAAGATGACTAATTGACTTATGAAGCGGAGAAGGGTTGATCAAGACGTGCAGAGGGCTGCTACGTGTATGTACCTACGGTGTGTATATCTACGCAAAGACATATATGCATATGTATATGTACCTGTATGTGCGTACAGAGATATACATGAATATATATATATATATATATATATATATACATATATATATATATATATATATATATATATACATATATATATATATATACATATATATATATATATATATGTGTGCAAGGTATGCACATACATACTTGCAAGCATGCAAGCAGGCAAGCAGGCATGCAGGCAAACATGCCCTGCATGCAAGCAAGCATACATACAGCGGCGTAGGACGTACAAGCATGGATGCCTTCAGGCAGGCGGGCATGCAGGCATGCATACATAGAGCAGAGAACAATACGACAACTTGCAAAGCAGGACAATGCCGTACAGTACAGTGAGGACAATAATGACACCACAACACAATGCATACAGCACAACACATACCTAGGTTCAACACATACTATAGGTACCGCACAGGACATACATCACATGCACCCATACATACACACACGCACGCACATGTACATACACATGTACTTGCACATGCATACACATGCACACGTACATACATGCGCGCACACACAGACACACGTACACACGTATTTTTGAACATATGCGCCGACATACATACACGTTTACACACACACACAAATACGCATGCACACACACACACACAAACACACACACACACAAACACACAAACACACACACAAACACACAAATACACACATACATGCATTCACAGATGCATCCATGCATGCATCCATACATACATACATGCAATCATATGTGTAATGACATGCATACATACGTTTGCAACTGAATGGCCTCGCAAGTGTCTCGCAGCCGAGGACATACTTCACACCCTGAAACCAATTAGTTCCACGACGCGTTGATACAGCGTTGCTTTCAAGGAAGTCACACTGACATGTGAAAACTACTGGACCAAAATATACGAAGCACAGTATTCCTTGTAACCCTAAACCCTAAACCCTAACTCTACAACCTGAAGCCCCCCAAGTCCTAAACCGACCCATGAGTAATGTAGACCCCTCAACCTGTGACATGAATACTAATTCCGGGATATAGGAGTCTCCGAAACCCCAAACCCTACAGCTTATACGAGGCCTTAAAGGAACTCTTATAGATCCCTTTGACGGAACCCCAGGAGTCTCTGCAAAACCCAAGGAAGTCTTTCCTGCACTGATCCGCGTCATCTTCCAGCCGCAGGGCAGGCTTTTCGCCCAGTCGGGTCATTGGCTACAACGTCGTGCCACCAAAGATTGGAGTTTTTGAGGCTAGTTTAGGGTTTAGAGGGTACTAAGTCTTAAGGTTTCGGGTTTAGGGTGCTCCTAATCTTGAAGTTTAGGGTCCAGGTTTTCAGGCTGACAGTATCGAAGATTGATAAGGGCTTCTTAAGCTACTGCAGGTAGGATGCACAACATTGCAATCAAGCGAACAGCAGCTGAGAGAGTTTTTGGTAGTGTACGTGCCCCTACAGGCATCCCGGTGTCGGATAGCCTCTGCACAAGGCGCGGAGCGGGGCAAGAAACACAATGCCTGATATCGCGCAGTGGCACCGGCTTTAGTTCACGTTTGCTAAAGCAGACGCAGTTCATTTACTCGCAAAAGCTCTGACTTCCTTGAGTCTGTGACCGCACAATATCAGATGCAGGACGGCGCTGCACTTCTGCTGCAGTTCGGCGCAATAGGATGAAACAGGTGAGGCCAGCAAGGCCCGGCTAAGAGGGCCCAGCCGTTTCAGCCGGCCGGGTCTTTTCGCAGGCATCTAACGGAACAGGCGACTGAGTTCAGAGAGCGGTTTCGGGGGCTTTGGCCGGAGAGACCTTCCACGTGGGATCTTATACCAGGCATACTTAAAGCCGTTATATAACCCAAATACAAAACCCCAGAGGGTCCACATATACTACCATTATGGAATTGGGTCCCAAACGACCATCCCTATTATGGCTTTGGGGGCCTAATTCCATAATGGTAGTATATACGGACCCTCTAGGAACCAGTGTGTGTAGGAATTCCAAAGCCCCACCAACCCGTGAGCTTCCATCTAACTCCACGCCTGCAAACAGAAGGCGGGACAGCATTCGGTACAGCGGCGGTGCAAGTATCTTCCACCAGATTGGCCTTGTTATTGTTAGCGTTGATAATATAAATCCTGCATGACCCTAAGGGCCCTAAACTATGGGAATTATGGTATATTCCATATTATGGGTAATGCAGGACTTATATCATCAACCGTATTGACCCTCCATTCGTACCATTACAGGTCTACCTACACCTTGCGTCCCAACGAACTCTTGCGGTTATGAGAACTCTGCAATCGGTGGAGGCCTTGCAAGCCTTCCCAAGGTCGCAGCTGGGCAACTAGGGTACCCAGTAACCTAAGAATAAAAACGTCTCTCTTTTTGGTATTGGGTAACTTTATAAGGAGCCTAGGACTACAAAAAGGGAATAAGGGTACTACTGGGCATCCTAGTTGCTAAAGCCTAACACAACTGGTGTGCCAAACCTTAGGCCCCAGGCCGTACATGGATCCACGAGAAACTTGCTAATAGAGGGGCCTACATAATTACCTATACTATCGTGGTAGTTCCTTGTTGTAACTATGGTGTTATATACCCCAAAGCCCTGTTCTAAATATTAAGGCCTCCAATACTCGATTATTCGTTCGTTCAAAACATGATGCCACCCTGGGCTATCAACCTAGCTCAGAAGTGCTCCACGGCAAACTTCCAAACGCCAGTGTTGCAGTCGTAATCGAGAAACCTCGGCGGGGATGGGAGGTAAGTGACGCGAAACCTATACATGCGAATGACGCATCACTTTTCGCCTCTGACTATATTGCCTCCATGCCATAAACACCACGTCAAACTTGCCATATTGATTGTTGCCATTACCGGTCTCTCCTGGTAGAGCTGGAACCCTACTGTCAAGACCAGTTCGATCCAACATTCGCACACAGAACCCTACCAGCTAACCCCTAAACTCTGAACCCTAAACCCTGAATCCTAAACCTTAAGCCTTAATCTTAAACCCCGAACCCAATACACCCTGAACCTAAAGCCCCCAGCACCAAACCCCTGAATAGAGTTTTGGGGCCGAGTATACTGTAGTCACAATAAGGACTCCCCCCCCCATACAAAAATCAGTGTAGGTATTTGTTTAGGCCCCTTATCCTCAACACCCATAATACCCTTTCAAGCAATCCTTAAAGACCCCTTTGAAAGGAACCCTTCACCAAACCTATGCTTACACGCCCTAGGATACCCGGTAACCTAAGAATAAAAAGGCCTCTCCTTTTGGTATTGGGTAACTTTATAAGGAACCTAGGACTACAAAAAGGGAATAAGGGTACTACTGGGCATCCTAGTTAAAGACCCCTTTGAAAGGAACCCTTCACCAAACCTATGCTTACACCTTTGAAGCTGCCCCCACCCTGTAATAGTGACTATAAGGATTACATAGGATTATATTAGGGCCCTATTATACTCGTATTATACCACTATTACAGGGTGGGGGCAGCTTCTAAATTATACCTTAACCCAAAAAGCCCTTCGATCAAGCCCTACCTATACTGAGCTTAGAACCCTAGCCCTGGCTCCTTAGCTCCTCCAATATCAATGGCTAGCTATGCTTACACCCCTCAACCTTCAACCTCGAAGCCCGCAGCTTCGGAAGACCCGAATGCCCCCAGAGAGATCCCAAGATCCCTCAATCCCAGGAATACGGTTTAGGCTTAGGGTTTAGGGTTTAGGGCTTAGGGCTTTTGGGTTTAGGGCTTAGGGTTTAGGGTTTTGTTTAGGGTTCAGAGTGTAGGGGTTTAGGGTTTAGGCTTTAGAGAATGCACCCTTGTATGTATATACCCAAAGGGTCCTAAGTACCCATGTTATGGGGGGATACTACCAAAACCATAATAATGGCAATTCCTACCATAGAAACCATACTTTCTAGGATACAGGTACTCAGGACATTTCAGATACAGATGGGTTCAGGCTGCTTTCTTAAAGTTGGTGGGCCTTTCTAAACCGGTTAGGACTTCTTGATATATTGACATCGGTTGTTGTTGAACCGCTTTTGCCATATGCCTACAAGAGGTATAGTATAGGGTTTAGGGAGATTTCAGGCGGCAAATATTCTTTCCGCAAAGAAGGTCGGATATTTCTGAGCACCATCGTGGGCAAAACCAGCGAGGGTGGAGAGATCTTCTCGAGGACCTGACGGAAGTACTCTGGGCTTTGCCCGAAGGCGTGTGGATTACTCTTCGTCTTGTTGTCGACGGTGCCGCAGTCCTCCATGTCCCCCGTGTAATCGATGGACGAGGTCCTTTTGTTTGCGGATAAACTGATGAAAAGAAAATCTACCGAGCCATGTAAACGCACAAACAAATCTGATCAGCGCAAGGCACGAGGACGAGTGCCCCGACGTGGTCTTACCCTATTCCCCTAAACCCTAAACCCCTAAATCCCTCAACCAATAAACTCAGAGCCCCAAATCCACGACTCAGACGGCTCTGGGCTCCCGTCCTTGCTTTCTTTTCTTCGGTCATTAGCTTGATTCGTCGCTTGTACTCTTCCTGCTGCTCCTTGTCCTGGACAGGATTTGGGGTTGAGGGTGTCGCAGGGTTTAGAGTTTAGGGCTTAGGGTAGTCGCGAACAGCTCAGGGTTCAGTAGCATGCAGTAGTATAGGCAATAGGCACCCTCCGTTCGGCTACAGCAACCGGAGGCTAAACTCAATGGGTCCAGGAACACTGAGACCCTGCGAGGGAGATGCGAGGAAATCAGAAATGTGAGAGCATTGTGGTCATGATGTTCTGGGATACTAGGAACCGAGGAATACAGTTGGGCTCCGAGGGTTTCGGTTGTTGCAGGACTGTTCTTCTTCAGGGAGAAACTCAGAGAGAGAGAGAGAGAGAGAGAGAGAGAGAGGGACAGAGAGAGAGAGAGAGATTTTGGTAGCATAAAACTACAACAGCCTTCGAGATCTTCAGGCATGGCTTCGGGGAATGGGGCCCTGATTTTTGCAGCTTGAAGGAATCTCAGCAATGCTGATCCCGAAGCCTCCACCACCATCACCTAGATTGTTGTAAGTAGGTTCTGATTGTAAACCCTAATATTATGGAACTCCCTAAACCCTAAAATAGGGACCCTACAGAAGTATAGTGACCATCCTCTCCAACATCAAAAGTGTCGGAGACCCACAAGTCCCCAGCAAAGTGTCGAGAGACCTGCTAGTCCCCAAGCCGAGACCCCTAAACCCGAAGCCCCAAGCCCGTAACTCGTAGACCCAAGGAGTATGGTTTGGGACTTTGGGTTTCCGAAAGTAGGGTTTAGAAACTTCGGCTTAAATCTTAGTATACTCTGGACCCAAGACTAACCTAGGAATAAAAAAGGGAGCCCGGTGTTATAAGGGAACCTGAACCCTAAAACAGGTAATAAGGGCCTACTCTAGGTCCTAGATACACGCTTGAAACTCAAGCTCCCAGGGCTTGTTTGGAGGAACGGCCCACACATTGGGCTGTCACTATGCCTGGGCAAGGAGGCTGCCATTAGGCGGCCAGCACTGGTACATCGTCACCTGAGCTGGGTCCGGGCCTACCTGGACCCTCGAAAACCCAACCTTTTAGGGCTCCCGGTGATGATTTCCTTCAAGTCCTTAAAACAGGTGGGTCCTTTGGGGTCCAGAGACTAATTTCCTCAACAAAGATAGGGCTTCCCCAAGGCCCAAATAATCGGGCTTGGGCTTTGTCAGATTTGTTTTGAGATGGGGGGCCCGGGGCGGCCGGGGCTTCAGCACGTGGGGGTGTTCACACAGTAGTGTTGTGAGGGCCTAAACCTGCCCTAAGGGTCCATGTACTCATATAGTACATACATTGGCCTTAAAGTATTCCCTATATAGGTACATGGGGCCCAAAGTATATGCTAGATTGGTACATGGACCCTTAGGGCTAGTTGCTCAGACCTCTGTATCTAGTGATTTCAGCTTGTATTGCCAGCAGATTTGGAACCCTTATCCTAAACGTGCATAAACCACACCCAATACAAACTCCCTAGTAACGCGGTTGTTGCTGGTCCAAGAAAGACTGAAGGAGAGCCGTGGACAAAAATCGGAGTAGCCTGGATCCTCAAGCACCACAACGAACTACGCCTCCAACCCATGGGCAGAAACATCTCGTAAAATCTTTAGGTTTTGTAGGGTTTGCGGTTTTAGGGTTTAGGGGTTTAGGGTTTAGAGTTTAGGGTTTGCTTTTAGGGTTTAGGGGTTGAGGGTTTAGGGTTCGCGGTTTTAGCACGTGATATAGGTGCCTCAAGAACGAGTCATTCATTCACATGATCTTGAATCTCGAGTTGACTCACGCGTCTCCCAAAGACCTTCCTTCCTATGAGTAAACGAAATTCCCGAGATCTCTAAAGCACCCCGAAGCACCGACCCATTCAAGAATTGGAATGCCGCATGCAGTGCAGACTTTCTGGGTTGCCGGCTGTTGCCGCCTGTGTCAGGGCCAGGGCAGGTCAGAATCGACAACTGATGGTTTGTTTACACAGGCCATGTTCAAGGAGTGAATGATACTTGAAACGGTCAAGAATTGCCTCTTCTAGCCCCAAAGGTCCAGAGGACCCAATAATTGGGTACGCGGTTTTGGGATAGTAGGTATGTAGGCTAGGAGTTTGGAAAGTATATGATTATTAGGTATTTGGACCCTTGGGGTAGCAAGGCCACGAAACAGCTAGATCGCCCCCGCCACATGCACACAAGTCGCAATCACTGCTATCGCTGGCCGCGGGCACCGTCTACGACTGCTGCTACCACTACTGCTGCGGCTGCTGCTGCTGCTGCTGCTGCTGCTGCTGCTGCTGCTGCTCCTGCTGCTGCTGCTGCTGCTGCTGCTGCTGCTCTTGCTGCTGCTGCTGCTGCTGCTGCTGCTGTTACTACGACGATGACGACGATGCTTGTATTCTGAAAGAGGTGCTTTTTTAAGTTAGGGTAGCCTTTGCATTGTTTGGTTGTGTGCATGTATGTGTGTGTGTGTGTGTTTTGAATGTAGGCCTTGTTGGATTTGAGGTCTTGTGTTGTTGCGGGGCCCTAAACCCTAAACCCTAAATTTAGGGTCGACGGGTAATTTATTGTTCGGTCCGTTTGGTGGCTCAGGGTTTGTCCACTTTAGGGATCTCTGGGCCAACACCCTAAGCCAGTTGCGGGTCTCATAGGCATGAGTCCTTACGCGTTGAGCATGCTCTTGGTATGCACTGCCGAAATCGAATCCTGGAAACTGCAAACAGCGGATAATCCCATGTGAACCGACAACCCAAAAGCCTAAACCCCTACATGGGTGAGGGGTCGAGGCACGTGGGCTAAATTCAACCCTGGTGATCCCTGCTGCATGTCGGTTTTGCGTTCAAGTTCTGAGTTACAGGCTTCAGGTTTTGGGGCTTGGGGCGGTTCGGGGCCTACTACTGAAGGTGGAGATTAGGTTGATTGCATCCGCTGGCCTTGTTCAAGCCCACGCCAACTTCGGGCTTTGTCCGTGGCTGCGGATACACCAGCACCTGCTAGGAAATGTTTGATGCCCACCTTGTGGTTACCCTTTGGAAACCCTAAACCCGAAACCCGAAACCCTAGAATTTGCCGGAGAGCTCACGACTCCTACTTGTATCTAGGAGCACATCGATGTGTACAGTTGAAAACCCTTACTCAAAGGCTCCATGTACTTCTATAATAGATAATACTTAAGCTTTAAAGGGATTCCTATATAGGTTCTTTAAGGCCTAAGTATATACTATATGCGTACATGGAGCCTTAGAGTTATGGTCCGCCATCTCACAGACTAACCACGGCGGAATGGATACCTTACACTACCCTCCACTGTATCAGCGCCTACAGGCCTACTATCATTAGTGAGCATATGCGCTTAATGCTAGGGCTTGCAACAGCCACAGACATTCAGGAATTCATGCTCCAATGCACGACCGACGCCCTACGTTGTCTTAGGTTGGGTTTGGGGTTACTGACATCTAGTGATCAGAGGCCAGAGTTTCTAGGATCCACAACGGCTACATGTCGCCGAAATTGTAGGACCCTTTAGCGGGGTAGGGGGCCTTAATGCTAAGGACCAAATAAGGCCTATTAAAGGAAGTATAGTCCCCTACCCCTTACTCCCCCGAAGGGTCCCTATGCCTAAACTGCACAGCTCATACCTTGACGATGCACCCCTAAACTTGTGAGCTTAAAAGCTCAACAACCCAAACAAATAATAATCTCAACCCTAAACCCTATAGACCCTGAACCCTAAACCATAGGACAGAACTCTAAACATACAAACTCAAACAAATAATAGTCTCAACCTAAACCCTACAGTATAGACCCTGAACCCCAAAAAATACGACAGAACTCTAAACATACAAACCCAAACGCAGAATAGTCTCCACCCTGAACCCTACAGTATAGACCCCGAAACCCTAAACAAAAATGACAGAACTCTAAACATACAAATCCAAACTCTGAAACCTGAAGCCGAAGCCTCGATCCAAGCCTCAAAACTCAAAATCATGCTTAGAACCGAAGCCCTAAATCCCTCTGCGGGAAGAGCATAGTACTGTAGTATAATAAGTATACGTCGTATACTTCTAAAGGCACTACAAAGGCATATTCATTGCCAACCCTGTGCCCAAGGCTGGAGAGCGTTAGCGCTAAGCCTCACAGCCTTATTGAGCCCTTAATGTGAACGCGGGCAACCCTAAATTCTAAACCGGAACCCTGAGCCTTAGGGTTCAGGGATTGTGCTGTTTACGGTTTTGGGTTGGAGGCTTTGGGGTTTTAGGGTTGAGGGCTCAGGGCGATTTTAAAAGGGCTCGCTCGCACTGCAGCAGCAGAACATAACCTTGCTGCCGCGGTAGTAGCCATTCCGATGTCGGCCACCCAGTTACAGCTGGGCCGTAACCCATGGCATTAGCAGCCTCTCTCTCTCGGGATGCCAACAGGAAGAGCGCGTTGGTCAACGCCGAAGGCGAATTGCAAGTCGGTGATGACGAGCTGAGAACGCACAAGCTTGGTAGGTCGTCGAGAAAGTCCCCGTCATTACGGTTAAAAATGGCGACGGAGTCGCCAAAATCAAGTGCAAGGCTGTTGCTGACGAGGTCGATCCGACCACGCTCGACGATTCCACGCTGGCCGTGGGCGCAGATGTTAAACGCACTGCGGCCGAAGGTGTTGCCAGCACCCTTCAATCGGGTCTGCGTGGCAGTGAACGCGAAGGACTGGCCACAGCGACAGTGCCGGCACAAAGGGCTCAGGGTTTAGGGCTTTGGGGTTTTATGTGCCTCGAACTGAAACGGCCTGAAGCCTGAATCTTCAGACCCAAGGCCCTGAAACCTGCCGTCACCTTCAACCCGACAACCTTGAACCCAGTCTCCAAGCTCCAGACCGTGAGCAAATCCCAAATCCTGAAGCCTCAGTCCCCGGGGCCCTAAGCAACAAACAACATTAACTCCAAACTCAGACATGAAGATGATTGAACACTTGAGGTTTAGGGTTTAGGGAGAACTTGAGGTTTAGGGTGTAGGTTTTAGGGTTTAGGGAACAGTTGAGGTGGCAACTGTGGTCCCGGACAGGAAACTTCGCTCCGGACTCTAAAGCTCTTTGAGTCTTAATCATAGGGACCCTTGGGGGGTTAGGGGAGAGGGGGGTAAAGGACTATACTTCCTTAAATTCGCCTTACTCGGTCCTTATTGTGGGCATTAATAAAATCACCCTACCCCCCCCCCCCTCCCCCTACCCCCCTAAGGGTCCCTATGACTTATATAACTTGTCTTAGTGTTGGTATGCTCCGGGGCTTGTGATAAGCCTTATAGTTCCTAGTCCCTAATCCCTAAACCCGACGGTAAGCCCTCATCCCTAAGCTCTAAACCCTGAACCGTACATCCCCCCTAGACCTACTACGGTTGATGATATAAATCCTGCATGACCTTAAGGACCCTAACCTATGGGAATTATGGTATATTCCTTACTATGGGATTTTCTATCATCAACCTTAGTTCCTAATTCCTTGCCCCTAAACCCTAAGCCCTGATCCTGCAAGCCGTATTCCTACTCCTGCAACCCTACGCCCTCATCCCTAACCTACTTGCCGGGTATCATGGGGAACTAAAGGTTGCCCTTTTTGGTCATATGGGGGTTATATAGGGGCTATACTACCCAAAAAAGGTTAAAAGTTACCTATATACTCTACTACTAGGCTAAAACCCTAAGCCCTAATCCCTATACAATGAAGCCTACAGCACCCTAGACCTACTAGTTCCTAATTCCTAACTCCTAAACACTGAGCCCTAATCCTGCAACCCAACATCCTGATCCTTAAAACCCTAAGCCCTGATCTGTAAACCCTTATCCCTAATCCTGCAACCCTACACACTAATCTCTAATCCTGCAACCCTACACCCTTATCCCTAAAACCCTAAAACCCTAAGCTCTAAGGGTCCAAGTACCTAATAATCATATACTCTCCTAAATCTTGAGCTACATAATCGCTACTATCCTAAACCCAAGTACCTAATTCTTGGGTCCTTTGGACCCTCAGGGGCCTCAGGGGCCGTAAATCCCTAAACCCCTAAAGCCGTAAATCCCCTAAAACCCTCAACCCCTAAACCCTAAACCCCTAAATCCCTAAAGCCCTAAACCCCTAAATCCCCTAAAGCCCTAAACCCCTAAATCCCTAAAGCCCTAAACCCCTAAATCCCTAAACACTGACAGGGATCTAACCCTCGCCGCCTCGCCCACCTCTAGCCGGACGATGGTCTGACAAGCGATTTCCGGTATTTTGGGGGCTCCGGGTGTAGGATTTTAGGGTTTATGGTTTAGGGTAATATAGGCTTGAGGAGGATTTAGGGATTAGGGGTTGGGGGGTTTAGGGTTTAGGATTTGTGTTATCGGGTTTACGGCACAGGATTTCGGAGGTTTAAGGGTTTAAGGTTTAGGGCTTAGGGATTTCGGGTTCCGCGGTTCAGGTTTAGGGTTTGGGACTTTGGGTTTCCGAAAGTAGGGTTTAGAAATTTCGGCGTAAACTATAGTGTACTCTAGACCTAAGAGCGACCTAGGAATGAACAGGGTGCCCTTTTTGGTTTAAAGTGGGTTATAAGGGAACCTAAACCACCAAAAAAGGGAATAAGGGCCTACTTACTCTGCGTCCTAGGATTTGCTAAAGTTTAGGGTTCGGGGCGAGGAAACTCTGAGTCCAGTCTTTGCCAGCCTGTAAAGGAAGGCGGGCGCGGGATTCAAGACGCCCCCTGTTTCCCTGTGAGTGTCTACAAAGTGCAGATTTCCCTGCAGTTCCCACCTTACTCGGGTCCTTACAGACTCCACACAAGTTCTGCTCCGACAAAGCCTTCCTATTGCTTCTTTATTACAATCCTACCGAATTACCTATACTTCGGCTCTTAAATACCGCCGAGTATTTAAGACGCCCCTGGGTGCTGAGCACCTTTCTCAAGCTACAACCCAAACAACTGACCAATGACAGGGCACTTAGGCTTACCAAAACCACACCCATGCCGGGCGCGTGGGCCTACACATTTCAGCTTGACAACCTGATCGTATTGTCAAACATGCGATTCCGGTAAAGAATCGCCTTTAAAACACCAGAAACCTCTGTTTTTGACTAAAACCAAGGTACGTCTTAAATCCCGCGCCCGGCTGAAGGAATACCATAAATCATACTCTAGGGGTATACTGACCTATAAGCCATGAAGGGGTTTTCTAGGGGTTCCTTTAAACAGGCCCAAAACGGATCCTCTAGGGGTATAATCTATGATTCACGGGCCTCAAAAAACTTAGTCAAGCGTTTTCAGGGTTTAGGGTTCTAGGCGTTTTGGGAGCATACGAGTATGGTTATACAGAGACTAGAACAGCATGTTGCTCCCAATTGTTTAGACTTGAGACCTTTGTAGAGTCTTGGGGTTCTTCTTACCCCCAAGATCTACTACAGGGGCCAAAATAATTACCAGTACCATTTCGGGGGTTCCTTATTATAACTACAGTATAATGGGCCCCAGAAACATATTCTAATTATTACGGCCCCCACATTACCATGTCGGGGTCGCAGCGGAAGATGAAATCAACCAGCCTCGTAGTAATATGAAAAAGGAGGCCCACAAGTTCAGCAGTAGGAGAAGGCACATGGGACTTAGTAAGTAAGGTTGTAAGTAGGTTATAGTTAGGATAACCCCACTTAGGGGACTTATAACCCCAATCATAACCTACTTACTAAGTCCCATGATCCTCTACCTGGGGATCCAAAGCCTGAAAAATAGTCGGGTTGTTTCGAAGACCCCGTGTTTCGAAAGCATGTTCCCGCAGACCCCATGTCTTGATTTGAAACCCCGGGTTTGCTGGGGCATCCTTCTTCATCCCATATGATAACTTATCTTAGGTCTAGTTTCTCAATTTATGACGTTGGAAACCAACCAATAAGACCTTGATTCCGAAGCTTCCACAGGCCTCGCGCAGGCTCACACAAGATGGAGGAGGCTCTCGTAGGAAGGCACGAGTCCGGTTCATCTTTCGTAGGAAGACACGAGCACGATTCATCAGTTCATGGGTTTTAACATTGGCTTATAAGCACAGTCTAGCAATCCAGATGTTGTAAATATGGTAAAATAAAGCTTCAGCGAGACAATGGCCGAAGCGACAGCGTGCCGCAGATGGCGTGTGAATGAACGGTCGAGGTCTCAGCCGTGCATGTTGTTCAGCCAAGACTGGAAACGATCAGTGAGGAGATGCTGCTTGCTACCGCGATTTTTCCTAAGCTCAAGGGCGTAGGTTTTTC